TCTGGTCTAGCACCATTAATCCATGCAAATGATGGTAGTATTTCACTAGGATCTAGACAATACACAATGAACACACCCAATGCGCAGACTGTGAGAGAGAACACTTAGGATAATTTATCTGACCCATGACTCTAAAGGAAAATTCATTCATGGCTAACACAGCCTGTTACGTATGAATTAAGACTCAAATTATAGTCGGGTAATAAAATAATCTGAGATATTTATAACTCTCTTTCTGGCTGGTGAGGCAAGGATGTATGACTCACCAGGAAGAGTGGTAAGCAGCAGTATCACTTTGTAATGAAAGGAAACCAAAGTAGAAACGAACTGGAATATAGGTGAACCTTTATGAAGCTGAAGGGTGGTTATTTCTCCATCTCTATTCAAAATATTGTAAATAGAGAGGTTTCCAAGGTGCTCCAAAGTTCTGGTTGTCTAAATACACCCTGGAGACCACTCACTCGAAATAACCATGACATCCCATGCTGCATCCCCTTTTCTACAAAAGTCATGGTCTGCATATACCAAGATAATCTACACATCATCAACTCCCAGGTCCAAGCCAGTTTAGACATGCTCCAGATGTAGAGAGAAATTTCTCCTGATACACATTAAAAGAAAAAGCAAATATGCACAAGTTCAATAACTTTCAGAAAACATGAGAGTTCTTCCTTCTATTTTCTCTCTCTCATTCCATGGGCAATTGTGTTACTGCCAGTTCTCCAAATAGTATCATTTTAATCCCATAAACATTAACCTCATATCCCCTCTGTATTCTAAGACATACACTGTGACAACATTCTTAAGTTTCTTAATAATGAGAAATTTCAGGCAATCTGTCATGATACAAAATAGGAGATGAACAGAAATAGCAAGACCAAGTGATTGGCTGAGTATTTGGAACAGGGGTTCTTCACTTGAACATGGGCAGGGGGCAGGTGGTGGGGAGAAAGGAAAACGGTCCATAAATGGTTGTGGAGTGGAGGAGGAGGTATGAAATATATTCAAAATTATCTGCAATGTTTTTCCTTAGTTTCCTACCATCAGATTTTAATAGGAGTCTCAAAATATTAAGAATCATTGCTATTAGGTGTCAATGAGTCATTTTCGACTATAGTGACAAGAGTAGAACTGCCCCATGGGGTTTCTTGGCTGTAATCATTTTGGAAGTAGATTATCAAGTCTTTCTCCCATGGAATTCTTGAGTGGGTTCCAACTGCCAACCAACCTTTCGATTAGCAGCCAAATGCTTACTCATCAGCACCACCAAGACTCCCTAAGAATCTTTGCTGTTGTTAAGTGTCATCAAGCTGATTTCAACTCCTAGCCACCTTGTAGGGGGTTTCTGAAAGAGCCGCTGTGAGTTTGAACTGCAAGCCTTGTGGTTCAAGCTAACCTTTCAGTCTAGTGCTTACCAAATTAGTCACAGCAAAACAGAGAAAGTTACCCCTAAAGTCATAGGTCAGTTAAATGTATTTGTCACTCAGGTTAAGTCCTAGCCTTGAGAAGGATTTGCCTGAGTCCGATAGCAAAATCAGTATGCTTGAGTTGCTAGACTCTTTTAGAAAAAAAAAACAAGTGAATCACAAGAAACTAAGTTACATCACTTTTTTTGTGTTCTGTTTTGTTCTTTTAAATAAAGTACCTGGAAATATACTTAGAAACAACTATCTACTATATATAAATATACTTAAAAAATTTTTTTTTTAACACGAGGGACTTCCATCATCTTTTAATTCCATTTTTCCAAGAACTTCTTAAAGCTCCTTTGTATAGGTATATACATGTGTTCTTATAATGGAGTCAGTTTCGACTCATAGCGACTCTATACAGGGCCTCCAAGAGCAGCTGGTAGGTTTTGAACCTCTGACC